ACACTGTGACATCACTCATTCACCTCTGTGATGTCATCATCAACGTGTCAGTAGATGAACACATGATTAATAACTGCAGCTGTATTGTGTCTTGTTCTCTCATCAGATTCCTGTGAACTCACAATCGACACAAACACAGTAAACAAACAACTCAAACTGTCTGACAACAACAGGAAGGTGACATGGGTGAAGGAGGATCAGTCATATCCTGATCATCCAGACAGATTTGACCACTATCGTAACCTGCTGTGTAGAACTGGTCTGACTGGTCGCTGTTACTGGGAGGTCGAGTGGAGAGGAGACGTTGATGTATCAGTGAGTTACAGAGGAATCAAGAGGAAAGGAGACAGTAATGATTGTATGTTTGGAGGGAGTGATCAGTCCTGGAGTCTGGTCTGCTCTGATGGAGGCTACTATGTCCGTCACAATACGAGAACAACATCCATCACCTCCTTCTCCTCCTCCTCCTCCTCTGGTAGAGTAGCAGTGTATGTGGACTGGCCTGCTGGCTTTCTGTCCTTCTACAGCGTCTCCTCTGACACACTGATCCACCTCCACACCTCCAGCACCACATTCACTGGACCTCTTTATCCTGGGTTTAGCCTCTGGTCCAAGTCTGGTTTTGATTCCTGTTCTGGTTCCTCCGTGTCTCTGTGTTCTCTGTAGGAGGGAGAGTCTCCCCCACTGTCCTGCAGACTGTCCCGCAGACTGTCTCTATTGTTAGGGATTTAAGTAGAAGTGCACACCTAGCGAAATCATAGTACAAGTAGAAATGTATAGTCTAGAATTGTAGTTTGTCTGATGTTATACAGTATATTCGTTATTACATTAGAATGTTAGAAGTGAATGCATTATGAATAATCAAACAGAATGTAGAGTCATGTAAATCATATAAACACCGTACACATTAACACCTGGGGACGGATGCTAATTGCCGTCCTTTATATTTCTCCCCATTTTCTCCCCAAAGAGTTTTTTTGGGAGTTTCTTCTCTCAGTTAGTAGATGAGCAAAGAATGTACGACAGCCCTGCGAGGCAAACTTTCTGATTTTGGACCACATGTGTTTAACATGAGTTAAACACATTATATATATATATATACAGCAACTGGATGCAAGACAGCCGATTGAGGCAAATGTGTTGGACCACATAAACAATGTTAGACCTTATGATGAACTCTGATCATTTATGATCAGAATTAAAGTGCACTAGTTCTAAGATGAAGACAAACTATGCATGCTTTGTTATATTCACTCATTGAGGCATAAAGCCAACTGTATCTACATTGAATGCATTGGAATGTGAAAGACAGATAGGACAGAGAAGGTCTCAGGTTACAGCTTCAGCTTCACACCTCAATGTGAAGGGGACAATCCAGGAGGAGACACGTTTGAAGGAGACGCCAATGACATTCAAATGCACCCAAGAAGACACATCTGAGGAGTTTTCAAATGACCAAAGCGGGGAAAGGACTGTTAGAATTCTCCTGCAGCCGCTTTGATAAGTCACTTTAGACTTAGTGAGAGAATTCTCTATTTTGCGAAATATTTTATTGTTCGGATTGTATTTCACTTTGTAACTATTCCTTATCACTTTGTTTAGTAATTAAATACTTTTTGATTTCTAAATATGAGCAAGTTGACTCTTTTGATTCGTTTCTGGCCAGGACGAGAACAAAGGAGTGAGGCCTCCTTCGAGGGTCCAAATAAACCCTTAACACTGTGCGGTCTCACACTGTCCATGTGTAGGAGCCATTCGTGATATTTGTGTACAACACTGTACTGGGAGCCAATCTCAGGTTGTGTATTATTGTGACCCAGAGTCTACATAATGGGGCACAGGTGCAATTGACACAGGGTAATGGTGCATGGCTGACGGGGAGATTGCACGGTTTTTACCACTGATACAGTACGTATATCCTATTTATTTGTATCACCTAGATGCTTTGGGTTTGGGATGATTGTTTTCATCCACATATTCTGAAAGATTTGAGATCATTATTCTCATTGGATGATTATCATCCATGAAGTCTCCTACCGAGCAAGCACATTTAAAGAAATATAATCTGATTGATTAGAGAGACGGGGCAGTTAAATGAGTGTCAGGATTTCCCGACCGAGGGAATCCTGGACTTAGGAGGCAGGCAAGCGACACTTGGTCCAGGTAAAAAAGAGGTTTTCTTTATTTGTAAAAAAGTTTCCTGATACATGTTGTCACCCACTTTGTCACACATCCTTACAATGTTACTCCTCGGAGTCGCGAGACAAGAAGTCAGCGACGACAGTCTGGGGTCCCGGTCTGTACTGGATCTGAAAACGATAAGGCTGGAGAGACAAGTACCATCTGGTTATGCGGGCATTAGTGTCTTTCATTTTGTGAATCCACTACAATGCACAATGGGCAGACTCAAGAACAAACTCTTTGCCAATGAGGTAGTAGTAGTAACTTTGAGAAGTTAACACAGAATCTCAGCTTCGGATCATCTTTTTTTGCAACCAAAACCACCGGGCTACACCACTCACTCGCGAAGGCTCGATGATTCCTGTAGCCAGCATCTCCTCCACTTCCTGCTTTAATCCTGTGACCAGTCTGGCTGGAATGCGGCACGTGGTGTCCCTGATTGGTCGCTGCGCTGGTGAATGCCGATGAATGTGATGGTCGATGAGATTTGTACTACCTGGCTTTAGACTAAAGAGATCTATATGCATGAAGGCCTGTAGTTTCCTGCGTTTTCCTGGCTCCAGATGACTCAGATCTGGAAACACCGGAGTCTCCGTTGACGTTGGAAAATACTGCACCTGAAGTTCTTCCTCAACCACAACTGTGCGTGCCCACGTAATTAAAGACTGCTCCGATTGGTGTACCCACTCTTTTAGAAGGTTCACATGAAAGACTTGATTATTTTTCTGCCGATCTGGTAAAAAGAGTTCATACGTAACAGGGCCATCTTTTTTTGTAATCTTGTATGGCCCCTGCCACTTATGGCGCGTTTCCACCATGTGGTACGGTACGGTACAGTACAGGTCGGTACCCTTTTATTTGTGTCTCCACTGCCAAATGTTGAGAATAGTACCAAAAATCCGAACCGTACTGTACCCCTTTTTGGGTACCCTTCCTTTGGGGCATCTGGCACAGTTGTTTGGTACTAAAGGGTGGAGCTAGACTCACTGCAGAACGTTGATTGGTTGAAAGAGTGTCGCCATTTGCCCATGCCGCAAGGGGAAAGACAACACACGTATTATTCCGCTGTGTTTTACCTTGCAGCGTGTAGCCTTTGTCACAAGGAGACGACAATCTTTGTTTGAGCAAACAGCCACATATCGAGAAGCAAGAACAGGATCGGCTGTATGTCCTCCATTGTTGTTTGCGGTTAGCTTTCAGTTTTCGCGCGATCGAATGACGTCAATCTACTTTCCGTCATATCAAGTGACGTTATCACTACTTTCTGGAATACACCAAGCCTATCAAGTAAGGGTACTGTTGGCGGTGGAAACCCTCGCCAAATCATGGTTAACAGACCCGACCCGTACCGACCCGACCCGTACCGTACCATACCGCTCGGTGGAAATGCGCCATTAGCCAGGAGACCACTGTCTGATGTTGGTAGCAATAACAGAACTTTCTGGCCCTCCTGGAAAATTCTTCTCTTAGATGCCTTATCATAACTTCTCTTCTGACGCTAATGTGCGTCTGTCAGATGACCATTGGCAAGCTCCTGATATTGGTTGAGTTTGTCACTCATTTTCAGGACATACGAGAGCTCACTGCACTGCTGTTGTCGCATAGGACCCTCCCAGGCATTCTTCAAGACATCCATGGGACCACTCACTGGATGTCCATATAGCAGCTGGAAAGGTGAAAACCCTGTAGAGGCTTGTGGAACCTCTCTGGGTCAGATTGGAACCGATGGCTGCCATTTGTGCTGTTACAGAGTCATTCACAAACTTCTTCAGCATATACTTGAGGGTCTTGTCGAAGCGCTCCACTAGGCCATCCGTTTGAGGATGGTACGTACCTCCAACATTCGATTCCAAAAAACCCTCCAAACTCTGTCAAGGGCTCCTCCTTTGTCTTCCCCTGACCTACTAATTGGCACAGGTGTGCAACCCCAACTCCCCGTTCCGAAGCCGCAAGGTCAGGATTGGCCAGCAGGGGTCATTAAAGTAACCTCATCACCAATGGCTCCTACGAAACCTTATTACACGTATTATAATTTCCACCACTACGGGAGCACTTGCTTAAATCACTATTCAGCATTAGTTGAAGTCTATCAGACAGGACGGGCAGCTCCCAGTTTAGCCCCAAGCTCAACATCTACTGTTAGCTCTACCTCATGGGCTTCTAACTCAGGTCTTCTACCTCATGGGCTTCTAACTCAGGTCTTCTACCTCATGGGCTTCTAACTCAGGTCTTCTACCTCATGGGCTTCTACCTCAGTCCTGCCCCCTCAGGTTCAGGTGTACCAAAAGGATACATATGGACTGATTTTGACATGCAGGTTTTGTCAGGACAACATCACCGGTCAGCCACCAGTGATGTGCTCATTGAAGTCAAGTCAAGTCAAGTCATTTTATTTTGTATAGCCCAGAATCGCAAATTACAAATTTGCCTCAGAGGGCTTTACAGTCTGTACACATACGACATCCTCTGCCCCGAAACCCACCATCGGCACAGGAAAAACTCCCCAAAAAATGAAAAAACCCTTACAAGAGGGAAAAAAAGGGAAGAAACCCTACTGAGTACTGAGTACTGAAGTACATCAGTACTCAGAAGAAAAAGTGATTAACGTTGCATACTTTTGTTGACGTGTTAACATGTTCATGTAACGTGAATTAAGAAGCAAGCTTTCAATCTTAGTTATTAATTATTTTAATGTTTTTGTTATTTCACTTATGAACTTTTAGTGATGGAAACACTTTGTCGTAATAGCTCGGTATATTGTGAATGAGGACGTTACCTCAGTACACTTCTGAGCTTACAATAAATAGCTAAATAAGGGACTCTGATGTCTTTTATTCCTCCATCACCTCTTTTGTACAATAAGCACAACACACGGCGATAGAGAAGTCTCACATACGGCCTCCGTCGATTGCTTTATTTTACACGGCAGTGAGGATTATGACATCGAGGTGCAGCTGGTAGAGTTCAGAGGGCAAGGTGGTCCTCAGAGGAGCAGATCGCCATCACTTGGTCAGTTGAGGAGTAGCTTGTGGGCACCGCTGCCATCATGATTGAATGTTGGCATTTCAGTTTCTGGTTTCATAAAAATGGTCTATTGGTTATCTGACCTGCTATCATCATTGAGGCTGGATCGTGACGGACTTTAGTATTAATATGGACACATAACAATTAGATCTTAGCGTTCTGATCACTGGTTATTTACAAGGAAGTCAGCTGTTTATAGAGAACGTGGGTGGCCCTTAAAAGGACCGTTTGGTTTATAACAGCAGTCGGCCTTTATCCCCCGAAGCCGTACAGGGTGCGTCCCTGTCTCTTGAGGGCGTAGACCACATCCATGGCGGTCACCGTCTTCCTCTTGGCGTGCTCGGTGTAGGTGACGGCGTCGCGGATCACGTTCTCCAGGAAGACCTTCAGCACACCGCGGGTCTCCTCGTAGATCAGACCGGAGATGCGCTTCACTCCGCCGCGGCGGGCCAGACGGCGGATAGCGGGCTTGGTGATGCCCTGGATGTTGTCACGGAGGACTTTACGGTGACGCTTGGCGCCTCCTTTGCCGAGTCCCTTTCCTCCCTTTCCTCTTCCGCTCATGTTCACTGGTCGGTTTGGTACAAAGATGATGAACTCGAATCAGTTCACAGATATTTAAAGCCAGTCTGAGGACGTGATGGAAGACGGAGGCGGGGCTTTAACGTGGCGCTGCAGCGCCTCCTGCTGAACGAATGTGTTTTATTGTCTTCTGCAGGACCAAAGAAATGCTGGAAAGATCAGAATCTGAGCAACTTCTTCCATGTTTTAAACACATCTGTTACATGGTGAGTTTTGTGAAAGTTTTCTACTCTTGTACTTGTAGATAAAATATCGACGATGATCTTGATCCAACTCTAAATCAGATATTAATTTTTGAATTATGTCTGTTTATCCCATCTGATGTTTTGGCGACGTGGATCACTAGTAACGTTAATGTACATCTGATGTTATTTATTATGGTTATATACCAGTCCAGACAAAGGTCTTCTTCGCCAGAATACATATAACTTATTGTACGATGTGTTTAATCACGCACTGGCCTGGCATCCATGGTTTGTAACTCGTGAGTTGCAACATTAGGAATAGTTTTCTGTTCCAGTTCTAGGCGGTGAGATGTTTATAGAATAAAAATTAAATAATGCAGACTGATGCCAAGATCCATGACTATTCTCATACGTATGAATCATGAATTGATGGTCACGTTAAGGAAGGAGCTCTTTACAGAGAGTGAGGTGGCTCTTAAAAGAGCCGTTGTGGGGTCAGTAGGAGCAGACTTCTCAAGCTCGCTCCCCGCGGATGCGGCGGGCCAGCTGGATGTCTTTGGGCATGATGGTGACCCTCTTGGCGTGGATGGCGCACAGGTTGGTGTCCTCGAACAGGCCCACCAGGTAAGCCTCGCTGGACTCCTGCAGAGCCATAACGGCGGAGCTCTGGAAGCGCAGGTCGGTCTTGAAGTCCTGAGCGATCTCTCTCACCAGACGCTGGAAGGGCAGCTTGCGGATCAGCAGCTCCGTGGACTTCTGGTAGCGACGGATCTCCCTCAGGGCCACGGTACCGGGCCTGTACCGGTGAGGCTTCTTCACGCCGCCGGTGGCCGGGGCGCTCTTGCGGGCGGCCTTGGTGGCCAGCTGCTTCCTGGGGGCTTTGCCTCCGGTGGACTTACGGGCGGTCTGCTTGGTTCGTGCCATGATCGACTAGTCTCGCTCTGGTGAAGTGAACTCTGAGAGGAGACACGCGGCTCTTAAAGTGTGGACCGGCTGTGGAGCGGTGACGCAGCTTCAGACCTCGGCTCCTGATTGGTGGAGGACTCCTCCCGGAGCTCAGCCGCGCCTCCACAGGAGAGTCTGCGATGCTCATTGGTGGAAAACTATTTCAAACTGTCCGCCAAATCTCAGAGCTCCCGCCCTCGGTGCTCGTGCCTGGAGCCGCCCGGCTCGCTCCACGGACACGTGCATTGTTTGCTGGTGCACCTTATTTCTGACTTTTTTTAACTTTATTTTTAATTTAAATTCCTCTTGCACCACGTTGTCTTGTAATCATTGTCTTATAAAATATTTCTTATCAACCTACATCTAATATAAAACTGTTTTTTCATGGACTACTGGGATGTATGATTGTATGTGTATGTGATGTTTTGTACTAGTGTGTCTCTCGTGAGCAACTAATTTGTGGTAATTGTGTACTTTACAGTTTTGTGCTACCACTATAAATTGAATCATGGGCCCCCACCTATAAGCTTTCTTTAGCTTCTTTGGGGGACCCATTCACCTCACCCAATTAATCTTGTACCTCCCCAGCTGTGTTATGTTAAATGGTAAATGGTAAATGGTCTGTACTTGTGTAGCGCTTTTCTAGTCTTCTGACCACTCAAAGCGCTTTAACACTACATGACATCATTCACCCATTCACACCCATTCATACACTGATGACAGGAGAACCATACACAGTGACACCTGCCATCAGTAACTACCATTCACACACTGTAGTCGCAGCTACAGGAGCAATGTTGGGTTAAGTGTCTTGCCCAAGGACACAACGACATGCAGGTTAGCCGGGCCTGGGATCGAACCGACAACCCTCTGATTGGAGGACGACCGTGCTCCCCACTCACCCACAGAGAGTCTCCGATGCTCATTGGTGGAAAATTATTTCAAACTGTCCGCCAAAAGCTGCCCGCCCTCGGTGCTCGTGCCCGGAGCCGCCCGGGTCGCTCCACGGACACGTGCATTAGGGTTGTCTCGACTATACAACTATATATTTATTATTATTTATTCATTGCTAATGTCAAGCTCTGAAACGTTTAGTCCACGGCTAGACTTCCCAAGGTGACAATCAAAAGGATGAAAATAGTGATCTAGTAGCGAGGCTCTAAAGATTGTCTGAAGTAAACTGATGTGACAAACACTTTTAAGAGCCACCCACTCTTTCCTGAAAGAGCTTTTCCTTAACTTAAGTTATTAACACAATAATTGTTGTGGATTAACTCCCTTCAGTTTGAACTGTGTTCTATTCTTTCTCCAACACGTTTACTTAGATAAGTGTTTGTTCCACTTCTTGCCAATGTACAGAGAATTGAAATACACAAACAAGGACACAATTCAAACCTGAAAAACAATAGTTTTATTCATATAGGAATCCATGCATTTATTAGATGATATATTGGTTCAACTTTTCATAATCATGTTCAACCCAGAGACTGGGCCAAAATATACTGGTAGGCTATTAGATACATTTGCACTATAGGTTTTCAACAGCAGAGGTCATCATAGAGTTTACGATGCATTGAAGCAGAGCCTTCTTGGTGATGTTCAGCTCCCACTTGAGGTCCTGGCTTATCCAAACCTAGAGAACCATCAATCAGTATTTAACCGATGAATGAACACAATGCTGCAAACAGAAAAACAAGTTGACTGTTGATCTTGGTAGTATATACACGGGTTAATATAAAACGTCAGCTCGTGGATTAGAGTCCACCACATATATGCTTATTTATTACAAAATGTAATGTCTTAATATATTTAAAGAAAGATTTGAAATACAAGCATAAGGAAACGGTCTTTAGAAGAGGTGGGTGGCTCTTAGAAGAGCCTTTGTGTTGGTGGTCTACATCAGGCTCACTTGGAGCTGGTGTACTTGGTCACGGCCTTGGTCCCCTCAGACACGGCGTGCTTGGCCAGCTCGCCGGGCAGCAGCAGGCGCACAGCGGTCTGGATCTCCCTGGAGGTGATGGTGGAGCGCTTGTTGTAGTGAGCCAGGCGAGAGGCCTCGCCGGCGATGCGCTCAAAGATGTCGCTCACGAACGAGTTCATGATGCCCATGGCCTTGGAGGAGATGCCGGTGTCGGGGTGGACCTGCTTCATCACCTTGTACACGTAGATGGCGTAGCTCTCCTTCCTGGTCTTCCTCTTCTTCTTGCCGCTCTTGCTGACGGCCTTGGACACGGCTTTCTTGGAGCCCTTCTTGGGCGCTTTCACAACCTCAGGCATGATTCAAGTCTCTGTCGCAGACTGACAATGTCGCGATGTGAACAGGACGGTGTTCATATATGAACGAGATGCAAATGTCACTGTGCGGTCGCTCGAGCGTGATTGGTTGTCTTCTGTGTGATACTGCGCATGCGTCTCACAGGCGGGTTTCTCTATTGAGACCGAATCACTTTGGTGCTTTTAACACGAGTTTGTCTCGTGAGTTTCACATTGAGAATCATGTTGTAAGAATCATTGTGTGCACTGAAATCATCTAATGAGCGTCACACAAACCATTCACAATCACAGGGCCCTGTTGATAGTTACAGTTACACACTTCAATTCTTGATGTGTCAAGACATGACGCACACCTTTTTTTCATCCAGAATAGACAAATACATGTGTAATAGTCATAAATAAATATTATAGGGCACCTTAACAGGACTTGTAGGCATTCAGCACACTGAGCCACGGAAGTGAAACATGTACAGTTTGTGTTCTTATGGCTAGACTCACTTTGTGATGTGACTTTAGAAGTTGGATGAGCGCAATTATCTTGATGACTGAAGTCTAGTAGTTTAAATTAAGGTTTGAGCGCAGATTAGTTTGTGAGGAATCAAGTAGCCCGACATCAACCATCGGGTTAGTTTGGCTAAAAGAGCTATTTGTCGGAGAGGTCGCAAAGAGTTTATTTTAATTGTGTGTTATCTTGTAGCAAGTCCCTGGATTGTGGTGTTCCTCAAGGAAGTTGCCTCGGACCTTTGTTATTTTCGATTTTTACGAATGATATGCCGTATATACTCAGTAGCAGTCATTTAAAAAAATTACAAGTGGCTCAAAATAAGGCTGCAAGACTGGTTCTTGGTTGTTCTTTGCGAACTAGTGTTGCAGAGATGCATGGCCGTCTTGCTTGGCTGGTGGTCAAGCATAGACTATCTGCTAATATGTTAGTATATTTTCATAAAATCATTAACACCCAGATTCCTAAATTTCTTTATGACAATATTATTTACTATTCAGATATGCATTCACATTACACAAGAGGGGCGAATAGTCATCAGATTTCTTTACCCCTACCTAAATGTGACTCTATGAAGAGGGCCGTGTTTTATAGGTCAATTGTGCTTTGGAACAATCTCCCAGTTGGGGTTCGTGAAATCAAGGGAAAAACTGGTTTAAAAAAAGATTAAGACTGCATTTGTTTTCAACATCATAACCTCGTCTGGAATGGTTGAGCGAGGTTGCATCATGTGTCCTGGTGTTTTGCATTATTATTTATTACTTTCAGTACTTTCAGAATTGTTACTTTTTCTTGCCTTTTGTGTGTTTTTATATATGATATATGTGAGTAATTGTGATTGTGATTACTGTTCTTTTATGTATTTCTTTTTTTCTTGGACCCCAGGAAGACTAGCTGTCGTCTCACCGTCAGCTAATGGGGATCCTTTTAAATAAACAAATAGGACATTTGATGGACTGGAATCAGAGACAGATTTAACAAATATCCACTGTATTTTTACATTGATTACACTGATATTTACTGAAATAGCAAAACATCAAAAAGGACAACAGGAAAATAGATCGTAGGCACTGAGCCAGTGTTAAACACTGCATCAATGACTTGATCTATAACCAAATACTGATCTAATAGTTATCTGGTCAGTTGATCCCAAATCAGTTAATTACCCTCAAAGTGTTTTATACACAAACACTTATCAGAACAAATGCAAAGCACTAGAAAGGAGTTTGTTATTATGCTTCATACTGAGACATGTGGACCGCAGCTCTTTTCGTGGGGTTGGCGGCTCTTAAAAGAGCCTTTGTGGTGCAGATGGAGGCCTCAGTCTCTACTTCTTGGCGGGCTTCTCGGTCTTCTTGGGCAGCAGCACTGCCTGGATGTTGGGCAGCACGCCGCCCTGAGCGATGGTCACTCCGCCCAGCAGCTTGTTGAGCTCCTCGTCGTTGCGGACAGCCAGCTGCAGGTGACGCGGAATGATGCGGGTCTTCTTGTTGTCGCGGGCGGCGTTTCCGGCCAGCTCCAGGATCTCGGCGGTCAGGTACTCCAGCACGGCCGCCAGGTAGACGGGGGCTCCTGCGCCCACACGCTGCGCGTAGTTCCCTTTGCGCAGATGTCTGTGGACGCGACCGACCGGGAACTGGAGCCCGGCTCGGGAGGAGCGGGTCTTGGCCTTCGCTCTGGCTTTGCCGCCGGTTTTGCCTCTGCCGCTCATCGTTAGACTGTGTGGAGGAAAGGAAGTGTCGCTGGACGCGTCCAACCCTCCTTTATATGTCCGCGGAGTGGGCGGGACGGTCCCTGACGCGCGCACCAACCAGAGAAGAGGCTCCAGGCGCGAGAGCAGAGGGCGGGACCTCTGAGAGTTGGCGGACAGTTTGAAATTATTTTCCACCAATGAGCAGCGGAGACTCGCTTCTGGAGGCGCGGCTGCGCTCCGACGCGGCGCCTTTTGTTCCCAGCAGTCACCGTCTAATGAATGAATATATGAAGCAATGGATTTCTCAAGGATCTTAGAGAGGAAGGGAAGATTAGAGATAGGTTTGTAGTTAGCCAACACCTCTGGAGCAACAGTAGGTTTCTTAAGAAGATGTTTAATTACAGCTACCTTGAAGGACTGTGGTACATGTCCTGTCAACAAGGACAGATTCATAATATCGAGTGAAGACGTCCTTAAGCAGACAGAAATCGGATCCAAGAGACTAGTAGAAGATTTAGATTTTGAAATTATAGAAGTCAGCTGTAGGTAATATGTTGTTAAATCGGTTTAAACTTAACTAAATATATTCGAATATCTGTGTTTTTTTAAGCGAATATTCGAACGTGTTCCATGTTGAGAGCCCCAGTGGTCACCTACTGCAGGACGCGGCATGAAGTGGGATTCTGTGCACACATTAATATACAAAATGCTATTAGTGTGCGTAATTAAATTTGTAATTTGTAACCATGGAGTTACGAGACGTTAAAATGTGGAGTGTCCAGTTCATCAAAGGGAATCGACTGCGAGAGAACCCATTTCACCAGAACTCCAACGTGATGTGCTTTTGCTTTGGAAATTTGTGCGAGGAAGTTCATGAGTTATGGGAATCATTTCCCACAAAGATCCGTATGCAGTTTAATGAAATGTAATCTAAAGACATCCAAAGGAATGTGACAGCTACAACCAAAATGTGTCTGAGAGGAAGGAGAACGAGTCTCAGTGCCAAGAAACATGGGAGGTCAAAGGTCGGCCAGCAGTGGACTACTGACCTCCAGGACGATGTACTCGCCGGACTCCCGGGTCGTCCCGGAGAGCGGTGAGCCCGAGGAGGACCGGGTCCGGAGGAGGAGCCGCACGTCCGAGCAGCGAGAGCTGCCGCGCTGCCCGAGGAGAAGGAGAACTCTGGGACGGCTGAGGAGGAAGAGGAGGAAGAGGAGGAGACCCCACACACACAGCTGAAGGGGCCCCAGGAGGAGTGAGCGCCGCAGGACGGCGTCCGTGAGCTCGTTAGATGTTCATTCCAGGTCCTCCAGGTTCTCACCTCTGGTCTCCTGGCGTCTCTCCTGCAGCCGGACTCGTCTGTCTCCTGACTGTCCCCCCCGGCCTCCAGCTCGCTACCCGAGTCTCATGTAAAATCTCTCCATGAATAAAAATGAACAAATAGGTTGTTTTCAAAAACATTCAGTTCTGAGTTGTTATTTAGCTCCTCCCACCTTTCCGTCGCTGACCACGTGGAGCCGATGCCAGCGGCGGTCAGGGACGGTGGATCGGGGTCAGCGCCCCCGACCCGTGGTTGATGCTCAGCGCCGGAACGCCGTTCCTCAACTCTGCAGGGGGGAGGAGGAGGAAGAGGAGGAAGAGGAGGAGGAATGTGTGAGTGTGTGTTTTGGCTCCAGATGGAAACTTCTGATCTTTAATTCATTCAGACATTTTGCAGTTATTTAGTAACAAATCAGGTTCTGATGAACCTCCTGCCAGATGGAAGGGGCACAAACAGTTTTTGTCCGGGCTGAGAGGGGTCGGCTTTAATCTTTATTGCTCGCTTCAGGGTCCTAGAAGCAATAAATAAACATTTTTTTCATTGAAATGCTTTTATGTTTGAATTTTGGCAGGTTAGGCAGTGCCTACCTTCTCTACCCTACACAAGCGGGCTTCTTTACTGGCTGTTCTTACCCACAATCCTTTGCAGAGCAGATATATTCAGAGGGTTCAAGGTGCCACGTGATGAGGAAGTAGAATGCTGCATGTAACAACATGTACTTGAGGAAGCTGCAGTTTGTCATGAAGGTAAATGGTTTAACAAGCGTCTTCACACTGATACGTGGGTGAGTTGTTCCGCCCCGACAGGTTCAACCTGATCATCAAAGAGGAGTGAAGAATAAAAACACTCTCAGCTCAGACTCTGTTGTCTTAGTGGATGTTTGTATTCAATATAAACTCTTCACTACATTTGTTACAAAGGTTCCTGCTTCATCACGTGTTCCCTACTAGTCTACATGTAGAAGAAGACCAGGAGACAAAGAGGGACGTGCACGGGTCCCCTAAACCATCTGGTCCAAACTACAGCATCCAGTCTGTTGTCATAGCAACTCTTTACAAGGTGGAAGGATCGTTCCACAGATGCTGGTTTTGATCCTCAAAGAGTCTTGTTTGAGCAGTGAGGACGATTCTGTTCACGATGACCTTTGACCCTGTAAACAGCTCAGACTGACACTCAGTCAACCAGTCAGACCGCATACTTTGATGGTGACATTGAGGACGCACCCTCTCTGATGAAGGACAACAAGCTGCGTCACTTCACTCCGTCTGATGGAAGCTGAAGTGAAGCACGGAGCTCCTTTTCTACACGGACCTGCTGAGGACAGAAGAGAGCTGCTCACTGAGGAAGTTCATGTCTACAAGCTCAGTAAGTGCAGCTGTGATTGGTTGAATGACATCATTGATGGTTGTGAAGGTGTGATTGTTTAAAGCTGGGAAACAAGGTGGCGCCTGTGTGAGCAGGCAGAGAGGAGCTGCTGTTAGTCTGAATGATGACGCCGTGATGAAGAAGAGGAGTTCAGTCTGATCTGGGGTCTGTGAGGACTGTTACTGATGAGGAGGGGAAGGTAGCAGACGGAGGGGCACTAGGACCCAGCAGGGACCACAGAGCTCACCTGGGCCTTTGTTCCTGAAACACACCTGGGAGACGCTGTGTTTGGCCGTTTCTCAATACCTAAGACGGCGAGAACGGACTCGCGTTCCCGCGAGAATAGACTCGGGAGACAGACTCGGGAGTCCTGACTCACGGGTACGGGAGAACGGAGAACGGACATTTCCGCAATTGGAACAGCAGCTGACTTGATGACGTCACCACAGTAGGCGGTCTTTGTTTACGCACGCAAGTGGAAATGTATAAAAAGCCAGCAGCGTGTTAACGGTTGTGGAAGGTGTTTGTTGAAATTGCAAAAGTATTCTGATTGAGTAGCTGGCAACGAAGAGCACAATAAAAACATATTGGTATTATTATATTTAATAATTAATTAATTTGAGTAGTAACTACATGGATCCGTACTTTAACATATTTAACTAACGTTAAATGACCGAAAAATTATCTAACAGATTAGACGTCATACAAAGCAAAACGAATTGTATGTGTCACGTTTAACTGCTACTTTAATACCAGCATAACATTAAAAGGTGATTCTCGAGAATAGGCGGCTGGAATGAGCGCTGACCGCCCGGTGCGCGAGAGGTTACGTTATAACGGCTCCGTTAGATTTGGAGGCATTTTTTTTAAATAGGCTGAATGTTGACCACACATTTGTTGCTTAAACCGCTAACTTGTATCCTTAAAAAGTGTTCACATCACATTCCGTTAATTAACAATAGTGGTATTTAATAAAAGACGACTTACAGTTGTGCGTTTTCTCATCTGCCATCGCAGCTTGCTGAGGTGAAATGCATTCTGGGATATATGTCTCTCACAAGAACAGACGAGCCTGCTTCGATGCATGCCCGGTAAAATGGGCGGGGCGAGTCACATCCGGGTATTATGACCGTTCTCGGCCAGATGCGGACTTGAGAATTGGAACAGTACTCGGGCTGTGACTGATGACGTTTCACGAGTCCACGAGAACAAAAGTCCACACAAGAACGCATATTTAGAAACGGCCACTGTCTCACCTGCTGCTTCAGTCCTTTAAGTCCACAAAGCTTCATCTTCACATCTGCTTTAAACACATTTAGTCACTTTTTATGTGTTTGAATGTGTTTGTTTTCTTTAGTCTTCAGTTTTTCTCTCGTTGATCAGCAGGTTGTAGTCAACCTTTTACTAACTGATCACATGGTGAAGTGAACCATCCCATCAGGAGAAAGCTTCCCCATGTTACCATGGTAACCACAGTGTTTCCCATCAGGACAGCTACAGGTCATCTTACTGGTCTGTGTTTTACAGACTTCTGGACTCTGAAGGAGATCAAGAGGAGAAACACCACAGCTCCACCTGCTGGAAGACGAGAGATGACATTTATCTTGTAAAACAGGACGAGCATTTAAAATGACGTTAACATCGTTTAAAGAAGGAAAAAAAAAGTTTGTCTTTCACTAGAAGTCTTTAACAGATCCACAGCTGAGGGGGACAATCTGTCCACAGGACGACTAGCAGCGTGTCCTCCACATATCTGTCCTTTATGGAAGAGCAAGAAGAAAGAACTGTTGCAAATATTGCTGTTCAGTATTCGCAGTGTGCTGATATTTCTTTGTTCCTGATTTCTTGCAGAGCGACTCTCACACACACAAACACACACACAATAATACACAATGAGGGAGATTCACATCTGCATTGTGATGGATGCACCACTGTGGTCACACGTCCTTCAGCCTTTAACCCTCATTACAGGACGAGCATTTTAAAGAAGGAAAAGGGAAGTTTGTCTTCCTCCAGAAGTCTAAACTTTAACAGACACAACACACAAAGTGTCCCATGAGAGTTTTAGTGTTGAGGTGAATGAGCTCTGTGTGTTTGTCCTTTGAAGATAATAATGTGTGAGCTCTCCCAGCAGGTGGTTGTGAAGGTGTGAAGGTGTGGACTCTGCTATGAATCAGGATGAGGACCCAGAGGACGGAGTCCGTCCCTCTGAAGCTCCTCTGTGTGGGGAACATGACAGCCAGACCAAAGCGCAGAGGTGAGAGGACCATCTCCAACTGTCCTCCGGTCTCCTCCATGTCCCAACGTCTTTGACTCACTGACTCTGGTTCTACATGTGTGACCAGGATCCACCAGAGACCAGGACCTGGACCTGATCCTGGACCTGGACCCAGCTGTGTGTCCATGAAGAGTAACCGGTCTATGCAGTCTCCTATAGACTTCAAAGATGTTGGTCCCTCTGTTGATGCAAGGTGAGGGTCTCAGGCTGAGGATGAGGTGTTTCTATCAGACTCTCTGGTGGAGGTTCTGGGTTTCTTGCTCCAGGGCCCTTCAGCAGTGTCCAGTGAGGGAGGGAGAGCTCCATGGAGGACTTGGTGAGACCTGTTGGGACTAAACCAAACTGACTGGTGAAGAAAACAGTGAGCTGAAAGACTGAGCTGTTGATTCTTAGTGGGACCAGCAAGACCAGTAGACCTGGTCCACTTCCTGACCTCACGTCAGGGACCTTTGACTTGTTTTGGTCTCTGTGAGGACGGACACTATGTGAGCTGATGCTTCATGATTAGATGATGATGTGATGATGTAATCTCAGTGTTTCTTTCAGGTCACATCAGCAGAGAGGAAAGTCTCCTGAACCCAGATGTGTGTCCATGAAGAGTGATCAGTCTATTGGTCATCTGAATGACTTCAGAGATGAACGCTGTTCCTTTGAGCCAGAGTAAGTTCTTAACAGATGAAGAACTGTTCTGATCATCAGTCATGAAGTACAAAAATTATGTAAACACAATGTGAGCTAGTTCCATCACATCAGGATCAGCAGAGGTCACATCTGGAGACAGCTGCAGGTTTCTGAAGACAGATGACTGTGAATGAACATGTGATTAGAACAAACTTGATGCTCTGTGGACCAGCTGATGTGGTCTTTGGACTCCATGCAGATGCAGAGTACTGCAGACGTTGTTTTTATGACCCACAGTAAGAACTAAAACCAGATCAACCTGATGACTTTGCTGATAAACTGTCCGTCATCATAAACAGTCTTCAGCATCTGGTTTCCATGGTGATCAATCATGACAGAAGCCAAAATCTTTAACTAATGTTGTATTGGTGTTGTTGGTCCAAACACCATGTGAGCTGATGGTTCATGTTCCTCCACAGAGAGGACCAGGAGAGCTCAGAGGTTCCCTCAGGTCCGTCTGCCCAGCAGCATCAAACACACCTGGACGCCATCTTCATGGTGTGTACATGAACAACTACTTTTACATCTCTCAGTTGACCATCATCTTCATGCTGCACTTTGTGGACAAGTGGATTGTCCGTCTGTCCAACATGGACCTGATGGTGGCTTCCATGTTTTAGTTTGTGTCATTCATAGAATATTCTGTTCCAGCTGCTGGAAGAGAACATCCTCACTTTTGTAAAGAACGAGCTTAAGAAGATCCAGAAGGTTGTGAGTTCAGATTACCCACAATGCTCAGAGAAGGAGAATGAGGAGATGCTGGATAAAGAGCAGAGGAGGAGCAAGGAAGCATTTGTAAAGATCTCAGTGCACTTCCTGAGGAGAATGAAGCAGGAGGACCTGGCTGAGCGTCTGCAGAGCAGTAAGAGGATTTCTCTAAAGACTTACGATGCTGATGAATCCTTTACTAATGTCTCAAGAGATGGACAGAATATATTCATGGTCATTCTCTGAGGAAAACACATGTTTAAATCTATTCTTTGACTTATTGATCTTCTTTGTTGTCTTCATTCAGGACTTCTTCCTGCAGGTTGTCAGCGTGAACTCAAATCCAACCTGATGGAGAAGTTCCAGTGTATGTTTGAGGGGATCGCTAAACCAGGAAATCCACCCCTTCTGAATGAGATCTACACAGAGCTCTACATCACAGAGGGAGGGACTGCAGAGGTCAATCAAGAACATGAGGTCAGACAGATTGAAACAGCATCCAGGAAACCAGCCAGACCAGAAACAACCATCAGACGAGAAGACCTCTTTAAAGCTTCAGCTGGAGGAGAGGAACCAATCAGAACAGTGATGACTAAGGGAGTGGCTGGCATTGGGAAAACAGTCTTAACACAGAAGTTCACTCTGGACTGGGCTGAAGGCAAAGACCACCAGAAGATAGAGTTCACATTTCCATTCACCTTCAGAGAGCTGAATGTGCTGAGAGAGAAGAAGTTCAGCTTGGTGGAACTTGTTCATCACTTCTTCAGTGAAACCAGAGCAGCAGGAATCAGGTTTGAAGAGTTCCAGGTTCTGTTCATCTTTGACGGTCTGGATGAGTGTCGACTTGCTCTGGACTTCCACAAGAATGAGGTCCTGACTGATGTCACAGAGTCGGCCTCAGTGGATGTGCTCCTCACAAACCTCATCAGAGGGAAGCTGCTTCCCTCTGCTCGCCTCTGGATCACCACACGACCTGCAGCAGCCAATCAGATCCCTCCTGAGTGTGTTGGCATGGTGACAGAGGTCAGAGGGTTCACCGACCCCCAGAAGGAGAAGTACTTCAGGAAGAGGTTCAGAGATAAGAAGCAGGCCAGCAGGATCATCTCTCACATCAAGACCTCACGAAGCCTCCACATCATGTGCCACATCCCAGTCTTCTGCTGGATCACTGCAACAGTTCTGGAGGAGATGAAGACCGGAGAGGGAGGAGAGCTGCCCACGACCCTGACTGAGATGTACATCCACTTCCTGGTGGTTCAGTCCAAAGTGAAGAAGGTCAAGTACGATGGAGGAGCTGAGACGGATCCACACTGGAGTCAAGAGAGCAGGAAGATGATCGAGTCTCTGGGAAAACTGGCCTTTAATCAGCTGCAGAAAAGCAACTTGATCTTCTATGAATCCGACCTGACAGAGTGTGGCATCGATATCAGAGCAGCCTCAGTGTACTCAGGAGTGTTCACTCAGATCTTCAGAGAGGAGAGAGGACTGTACCAGGACAAAGTGTTCTGCTTCGTCCATCTGAGTGTTCAGGAGTTTCTGGCTGCTCTTCATGTCCATCTGACCTTCTTCAGCTCTGGTGTCAATCTGTTGTCAGAAGAACAAACAACCTCTTGCCGGTCTAAAAGCTCTAAACCCAATCCTGAACCAAAGCGTCTCTACCAGAGTGCTGTGGACAAAGCCTTACAGAGTCCTAATGGACACCTGGACTTGTTCCTCCGCTTCCTCCTGGGTCTTTCCCAGGAGGCCAATCAGACTCTCCTGCAAGGTCTGCTGACACAGACAGGAAGTCGCTCACAGACCAATCAGGAGACAGTCCAGTACATCAAGGAGAAGATCAGTGAGAATGTGTCTCCAGAGAAAAGCATCAATCTGTTCCACTGTCTGAATGAACTGAATGATGGTTCTCTAGTGGAGGAGATCCAACAGTCCCTTAGATCAGGACGTCTCTCCACAGATAAACTGTCTCCTGCTCAGTGGTCAGCTCTGGTCTTCATCTTACTGTCATCAGGAGAAGATCTGGAGGTGTTTGACCTGAAGAAATACTGTGCTTCAGAGGAGGCTCTTCTGAGGCTGCTGCCAGTGGTCAAAGCCTCCAACAAAGCTCTGTAAGTAAGAGAGTTAGATTCATACATCATGACTTAAACATGCTGCCATATTTTCTACTTGTTCATATTTTCTTCATTGTTGTTTCTTCAGACTGAGTGACTGTAACCTCTCAGAGAGAAGCTGTGAAGCTCTGTCCTCAGTTCTCAGCTCCCAATCCTCTAGTGTGAGAGAGCTGGACCTGAGCTACAACGGCCTGCAGGATTCAGGAGTGAAGCTGCTGTCTGCAGGACTGGAGAGTCCACACTGTGACCTGGAGACTCTCAGGTCAGGATTCAATTAATCTCCACTTGGTGTCTTTATTTATGGTGGGTTGACGTGGCACAGGGGTAGAGAGGGTGCTCGCGCGTTAAAATGTAAAAGCCATGGATTATAAATGCAATGTAAGTCGCTTTGGATAAAAGCGTCAGCTAAATGACCTGTAATGTAATTTACATCAGTGGTACATTTCTGAATTTCATGAGATTCTTTCTGCTTGCATGATTTTAAATCAAAGTTTATTTTTATTATAATGTTACAAATAGAAATATTGAAGACCAATTCTAGTTGTCAGTAATGTTACTGGAGTGTTGGTGTACATTAGTGGGTGTATAACCATGTTTATGTGACCCCTCAGTAGCCGACAATATCTCATTCCTGCGGTGACCTTCTAGTGCTCACAGCTCCCTAAGATCATGTGACATGTGTGTTTTTTTGTGTATTTGCAGGATGTCAGGCTGTCTGATCACAGAGGAAGGCTGTGCTTCTCTGGCCTCAGCTCTGAGCTCCAACCCCTCCCATCTGAGAGAGCTGGACCTGAGCTACAATCATCCAGGAGACTCAGGAGTGAAGCTGCTGTCTGGTGGACTGGAGGATCCACACTGTAGACTGGAGACTCTCAGGTAGGAAGAGGCTGCAGCCACAGACCATCAGTCTTTAGAGGAGCTGGAAACCTTTTCTCTGTCCCACTGTCAGCCTGGTTAATAAGACCCTGACACACCAAGCTGACCTCAAACTACCAGAGACTCATCAAGCTGTTTGTGTCCCACATGAGACATCAATACAGAAAGAAGTAGTAAGGAACAGTAGCCAGGATGAGCCTAAACAGGGAGGAAGGTGATGAAAGGCTTGTTTCTCTGGAGCCGTGTCTTGTCTCCACATTATAAGAGAGGACAGTGTCTCCTGACACGTTGACGGCATCAAGGTGGGTTCATATGAGTCAACATCAACACGCTGCAGGTTTGTGGGCTCTTATCAAACAACACTTGGATATTTAGATGCTGGTC